AATGTAAGGTGCTTCTTGTTCATTGCTTTTGCTTTCTGGAAAACAAGAGTTGAGGGATACTTTGCCATGACTGTTTCTGTGAGTAAGGTATGGGAGTGCCTTCCTGCTCCTCATGGGATGCTGGTCTGAGCTCCTTGCTGGATGCAATAGCCATTGTTTCTGTTCCTCTTTCACTGACTCATCATGCTGGCATGTGAAATCATCTGCATCTTGGGGTTAGATGCTAATGGATCATGGGAGAAGAAAATAAATCCTTGTCCGGTGAGAGACTGCTAGTGTTATCCCAATTTATGTTGCAGAAGGCACAACTTTTAAAAGTGAATGCACAAACTCCACAATGTGCTCTGTATCAAGGGGGTAGCTGATAACAGGTTGAAGGTGCTGTCTGAGATAGCAGATTGTTTCTCTGCTGACACTTGGGCTGCTGCATTGGTTCCATTCTACCAATGCTACCTGTAAATGGCTTATATTCCAAACATCACGAAAACCAGTCAGATAAATCAGACAGGAATAAAACAAAAGATTAACATTTTGTTTAAAGCACAAAAGTCAGTCTGTGAAACTAACAGGGCCGCTTTCTTTTGTTTACCCTTCTGCAAATGTTTGCTTAGGAGCAATAAGAGTTAATTGTCAAACTTTACAATGTAGTCAGAGACTTTCTCATAAAATGTATAACAGACTCTGCCCAGATGGCAAATGCTGATATGTAAATCCAAAACATGAAAATTTCCATTGGGGGCCAGATGGTGGCTTAATGTGAATTGTTTAACATTTATGTTTATCTTATTAAAAGTGCCATTATATGTCCAAAGTAAGCTATCAATGTGGTTGGAAGTCACTAAATGAACAGAAAAATCAAACCACCAGTACAAGGCACCTCCTGCTTACATGGATCATGGGAAAGCAAAGCATGTCATCTGTTGAAAAGTTCTTTTTCTGCCTACAAAGTTATGAAGAAAATATAACCAAAATTAAATCACTGTCTGCTTGGGGAAAATATTAACCCCATATTATATTCCCAGAAGTTAAAAAATGTTGGACAGCAGTAATTTGAATACCATAATGTATTTCCCCTCAGCGTTGGTATTGGTGTTCAGCTCTAGAGGCCAGGGGGAAGCATTGTGGCTGCAATCCCTCCTGGGTGCGGGCCCTTCCTCCTCCAGGAGAGGCCTGGCTCCTCCTGCAGACTCTTGGCTCTGCCAAAGCCATCGTTTCCTCTGATGCAATACAAGGAGTTGCACAACGGAGGAAAGAACAAGTGGGTGCTTGTGGAGTCTGTCACATGAGGCTGGTGCCTTTGCAGTAAATGTGTGATATTAAGGGAAGTGGTTAGCATGGCTCTGAAGGGCAGCAACAAGCCCTGGGTCAGATGAGTCTTTCATAGGACTCTCTGTGCACGTGCTTGAGTTTAGATGCCAATCTGTGCTCACTTGTCCCTTCAAATGAGTCTTTCTGAAAACAGCACATCATGTTGAGGCAACTAAAAATCAGCAGGTAGCTCTTGCACAGGCAAGAAGAAAAACGCCTTTTAATAGCTTTAGTTTAAATGCTGCAGACATAAAATACACAGTTACTTTTGGGATGCTTTCCCAGTAGAAGGGGAAAAATGCTTCAGTGATAAACTTAAAATAGAGTGCCTGCCTGTGTGGGTACCTGTGTGTATGTGTGTGATGGTGTTCAACAATGCAGAGAAATAATTTAAAGAGGAAGGTTGTGGGGAGGCTGAAGGAACAAAATCGCAAAATGTTTGCTTTAGACTAAAGTTTTTTTTAAGAGTTATTTGCCATTACCTTGTGCTGGTGGTTGTGACTTACTCCTTAATGAATCACTGGTCAGTATTGACTCCATTAACTTTGACCTGAGGCTTTGGAGTTGTGCCCAGAATATTTTTTTCTTGAAAAGGGCAGTATTACTAAAGTCATGGGCTGAAATTACAGATAAGTGTTAAATGGCAGGTTAATACTGAAATCAGTCTGCTCTTTGATACTACATATCAGCATACTGACCTGAAGAACACTTTCTCCATTTTTCTCCTATTTAAGGCTAAGATGTAATTACTTGAATTGTTATTCAAAGTTAAGGCTAATATTGCTATATTTATATAGAACTTTTCAAACTGAAAATAGGAGGGCTGCCATTTACATGGTGATAATAAAAACCCCAAAACAACAAACAATGAAACAAGCTATGCTTTTGGTTTTTAGTGCCGCAAATACAACAACTAAATAGAATAAAAAACGATGCTCCCTACAAGCATCGCTCTCCAGAGTAGAGCACATCGCTGTTTGGCAAAGCTCAGCCTTTTGCCAGAGATAAGACATTACCCTAAATATGGTCCCTTGAAAAATAGTGACAGGAGCCAATCAGTGTTGTCACAGTTGTCAAACAGCTCAAGATCCTGACAATCCTGATAAGCATGAAAACATATTCATTCAAAAAAGAATCCTGCTTGCTGAATTGACTGCTGCACACACACAGAGCTGTACAGCCCCAGCAATTTCTTTGGTCAGCTGGTGTCTTTGGAGAGATCTCGTCCCACAGCTGAGGCAGCACCAAAAGCTGCTTAACTTTGATAATGAATATTGCCAGTAGAATGGCTGAAAGAAGTAATATCTGTGCTGTAAGTTTTTCCACCAAGGCTACATGAATTTTCTTCTTGAGGAAAATGTGTTTTGCCTTCTGGAGCTCTTTTTTCCTGTTCACTTTTGTTTTACATGATTTAAACTGAAATTGAGCACTAGTTCTGCTATTTTTGTGCTGCAGTCTGTTACAACTCATGGAGAAAAACAGCTCTCTTAATTCACAGCTTTGTGCGTTACACACACACATCTTTGGATTCACATTTTTAATGTTGCTTTGTAAATGAATAATTCAGAAGTGAGCCCTAAAATCCAGATCCTGCAGTTTTATCCAGAACATATTGCAAATGCTCAGAGACTAGGAAACAGTTTTGGATCTGCTGCTGCAGGAGACAGTGAGCAGCTGGTAAACTACTGGCCCTTAATGAAGCTATACCATATTGCAATATCTCAAATTACTGCAGAACTTAATTAGTTCATTTTACCCTGCCAATCTGGAAAGACCAAACATTGTCTTGGGCAGCCACTGTAATTATTTCAGTTTCTTCATTGCTGGCCATTAAAGCTGAGTTTGGTCTCTCCCAGTAAAGTATTTAAATGCCTTTTTTTTTTTTTTTTTAGATTTGGGAGTGCCTGCATTGTGCTACACACATATATTTTATATAACTACCCAATTTTAGTAAAAAGTGATTTTTTTAGTTGTAAGTCATTCCTGCCTATGTAAATATGAGTGCTAATGTTACAGAATTTTTAATAAAGAAATGAGAACACTGAATTGATTTGTTCAAATGTGGACTTGCCCTAAAGCTTTTTGCCATAACTGTTGTGCATAAGTGATTGTTTTGAATGGCAGCACGAGTTGGCATTCAGGTTACTTTGCTTCTCTATTTGAAAATAACCTTTAGAGATAAGGAAATGTTTTAATTTGATAGGGTGGCAAAAAAATTATATCTGGGGTGTAGAGCTGCTAAGTGAATCAGAAAGGTTCTGTTTAAATGAAATGCACTGTATGATGTATTATTTGTAGTATGGATGCCCAACACTGAACATTATTTTTACATGCTGCCCCAAAGGGTAATTTTCAGCATAATGAAACATCACGTAAAATCCAAACTCCCAGGCACCAGATAAATGGTTGGCACTTACCATCTGAGAAATCTGGCTACCAAGTATTAAAATTCTGTATCAGCAGACACACATATTGATAAGTTTTGAGTGTTATAAAGAAAATAGTCTAGACTTCAGCCCTTCAGACTATTGAATATTTGAACAGTAAAAAACCAAAACAGTCCACTAACTCCCTTAGAATCACAGAATCAGATGGGTTGGAAAGGACCTCTGAGATCATCAAGTCCAACCCTTGATCTGCTGTCACCACAGTTACTAGACTATGGCACTCAGTGCCACATCCAGTCTCTTCTTAAAAACCTCCAGGGACAGAGAATCCACCACCTCCCTGGGCAGCCCATTCCAGTGCCTGATTACCTCCCAGCCTCCAAAAAAACCCTGATGCAATAAATTAAAAGTAATTGTAGCCAAAGCAAATAACATAAACCTATTGCTTTTCCCTAAATAGCAGGGTTTAATTTGTCTTCTGAAACACTGCAGGTGCAAGGGGTAGCTGATTTCCAAGAAATTTAGGTCATTGTTAGCTGTCTGATAATGATGGACTCTGTAATGAAACAGAGGCCAACTGATTAACTGTATTTGAAACCCTTTGAGCACTGTTTGTATTCAGGTACTCCAAACCAACCACATCTAGAACATCTAAGCTTTAAATTACAATTTTTTGATAATAGTCTTAATAACTGTGTTTAGTGCTACAGTGATGTTTTATCACTTGGTGTCTTTGAAACCACGTTATCCTCTAACTCTGAAGCTCTGTTCTGCTGATCTTTAAGATTAATACCAGGATGGAACATAAATATTTTGAAACACATTTTGCACTATGGCCTTTCTAGTTACTTCAGAAAGCTGCCATTGTGTTTTTAGTCAGCTTTTACAGTTTTAGAGGATCATGTGAAAAAAAATTTACATGGTCAAACGTTTCAATTTCTCTTCTTTCCCCTAAAATTACTTCCTTAATGTGACACAATTCATTCTATAGCTTCATGTTTTCTATAAGTTAAAAAAGAATAATATATTTATTCTCTGGTTAGTTCCTGTAATACCTTACCAACTGTAATAAATTCCTGGTTTCCATGGGCCTGTGTGTGGGACACAGAAACTAAACCATCAGTTCACACACTTCAGAAAGGTCATACAGAGCCATATTTTATTTCAATGATTTTGTAGGCTTAAGAAAATAGGACTCAGTTTCATGAGCCTACCCATTTGACACAGAGATTAGAAGCTTTGCTACTGTTCTAAACCAGTTCTGCTGGGGAGGACACTTGCTTAAAAAAAGCATTTCTGTTACAGGACATGAACTTGATTGACATCCTTTGGAGGCAAGATATAGACCTTGGGGCAAGACGTGAAGTTTTTGATTTTAGTCAACGACAGAAGGAGTATGAGCTTGAAAAACAGAAGAAACTTGAAAAGGAAAGACAAGAACAGCTGCAAAAAGAGCGGGAGAAAGCTTTGCTGGCTCAGCTGGAGTTAGATGAAGAGACAGGTGAATTTGTTCCTGTGCAGCCAGCTCAGTGCATTCAGTCAGAAAATACTGAGCCACCAGTTGTTTTTTCACAGGTAAACTCCAATATGTGTTTGTGAGTGCATTTAACCCTTTTTCCATTCATAGGAAGGCATAATGCTAGTGGCTGCCTAAAATTAATTTGCATGTGTTACTGTAATGGAAGATTCTTCAGTTTTTCGAAGATGCAATGACCTTTTTTTCACGACTTTCCTATTTAGACCACAGAGCCTTCAAAACCAGAAGCAGAGGCCTTGTCCTTTGATGACTGCATGCAGCTCTTGGCAGAAGCATTCCTGTTTATAGATGAGAATGAGGTAAAAATGATCAATACAGTAATTTCATGGGTGGTCTTCTATGGGGTCAGTCTCATGTCTTTTCTGAGTGAGATTTGTCTTCAGCATAATACTAGTTTGTGGTCTGACTGGAGTTTTCTCCTCAAGCTGGCTCCAGCTGGGATAAAGCAGTGTGGTAGGCTTGAACTAGGGCTGTGTTTGGAGGGAGTGGAGTGGTTGGTACTCCTGTGTTCCTCCCACTTCTGAGTCCTGCAGCCAGGGTGTCAGGCCAGCTGGTGCAGCCACACCAGGTACTGCACACCGTGGTTGTGGGCTGCTCTGTTTCTGACAGTGAGCTCAGCACAGCTCTCTGCATTAGTGCCTTTAAGGTGATTTATTTCCATCTAGTTGACCCAGACTATTTGATGTGTAAGGCCCTTCACTAGCCAGTTTCTAGATTCTCCCCCCCCCCATTTCTTTCCTTAATATGAAAACGTTTTCATGGGGATATTTTGATATTATCCCACTGTTTACAAAAAAAATGCTTTTCTTAAGAAATACCTGTCTGTTTGTTCTGCAGAAATGGTAAAACTCTAAAAACTAGACTTTTTTGCTTTGGAAATGCAAATCTATTTTTTTGAGTGGGGTTTTTATGTGGTGGCATTTTTTGTTATTGTTGTTTTGTTTGGCTTTTTAATTTTATTATATTTTCTTTCAGGTTTCTTCAGCTGCATTTCAGTCATCAGTTCCTGCTCAGATTGATAGCAACACAGCCTTCGTTTCCTCTGATCAGACTCAGCCACCTGAATCACCTGATCTAGTTCCACCCACTGATGCAGAGAATATGCAGAACATAGAGCAAGTTTGGGAAGAATTATTGTCCCTTCCGGAGTTACAGGTTAGTGTGATAAGCACCTGAAAAACAAAGCATGGTATTTTGGAGGACTGTGGTGTTTTGGAGAAGGCAGTACAATAGCATCTGAACAGATGGTGACTATGACTGTTGTGTTGGATTCTACACTGTAGGGTGCCTATAACTCAATATAAGTTTTAACTTTTTCAAAAATATCTCGAAAAATTGTAGAAAGAAGGAAATGAGTTGTTTATGGATAGGCCTTAATAAAACACACTCTAAATTCTCAAACAGAACTTCCTCATGTTTAGCAAGTCGTTGTTTGTCTCTATATGCAACTTATTGTAGCGATATTACATTGTTAAAATTTCAGCTGCATAAAAATTGACACTTCTGAATTACGGATCTACAACAGGAATTGTTTTTACAAGCATTGTAAATTTTTTTTTGCAGTGTCTATGTGAATCATTTATGGTTACTTTTGCATTCAATTTTTATCTAAGGAAAAGTTTTTAAAGCTGGTAATAGAACATGTATTTATGTACATAGAAGAGTCAGGTATGTTTATAAAAATGCTGCTTATATATGTTCAGTAAGAACCACTTATGTAATGTACAAAACTGGGTATTCCAAAGGAACGAAAAAGTCACTTTGCTAATACAGAGGATATGTAGGGGTTTTTTAATCCCATCCTTTTATTTTTATTTATATTTTCCTTAGATTTGACTATAAAATAGAATAAATTTATTTTCAAATACATTACTGTAGAATGTCATCATGCTCCAGCATTATGCTGCTCTACTTTATGCTGTTAATACAAGAGATGATTCCTAGGTGGAATGCCTGTAAATCCAAATCATATTTCAAAAAAAAAAAGTGAAAATTTGCAGGAATTTTGGTGGGGTTTTTTTGCCACTCTACCTTTTCCTTCATCTTTTTATATTTTTCAAATTTTTTTCTAGTTTCCTAACCTTATTACTGTGGTAGACTTAAAGGCCCCACATAAGTGACAAAGGCAATTGATTATGAAGAAGGAGCGGTAATGGTGAAAATACATTAAAAAAACAAAACAAAAGAACCTTGCAGTAATTCTGAATAGTAATTGAATAATTTTCAGAGGAAAAAAGTGAGATAATTAAATTGAGGGCAGCATTGTCTTTTACAAATTCAGTTTAGAGAAATGGAAAAACAGAGGTCTCACACTGAAAACCTTAGCTTAAGCCATGAACAACCTCTGGTTAAATAATCAGTGAGTAGGTCCTTTCTCTTAAGAGAAACAGAATCATTTTGGTAATTGCCTAATTCCCTGGGTACAGCAGGCCTGCTTCTTTCAGCTTCAGTTAAGAAACTTCCACCCTACTGGAAAGAACGTTGATCTTGAAGGCCCATCAATGCAACAGTATGATGCTCACACTGGTGTTAACCAGCTTAACTAAAAGTATGTGGGGCAAGTTAATGTTTGCCAGGTTTCATGTTAGTACTCTTAGTTCACCAAGAATTACATTTCTCTGAGCTGAACAGCTGCTTTATTCAGTAAATCCTAAAAGAATCTTGGTTTTGAGGAAACATAACATGAAATGAAGAGTCCTAAAAATAATTGCTTGCTAGTAATACTCATTAAATCTCATTCAGGACTTTCACATTTACTGTACTGGTGCCATTCCTAGCTGTGGTGCTTGTGAGAAGTTCAGACCTGGCAGCTCCAGGATCTGCACTAGCAATTACCAGAACTGGGGGCTCCATGCAGCTTCCCTAAAGCATTGGAATGGGTCTCTTCAGCATCTTGCTCTGAGTTTGAGACACTCGTTATCTAAAGAGCTTTGTCCATAACAAGTTGCTTTGTACTCTTGTTTTGATATCTGTCATGTTCCTAGATTGCCTCTCCATAGTACAAGTGTGCTGTAGTCATCTAGATTACAGCGGTGTTGTAATACCCCTTTTATGTGCAGGCTGATTGCTAAAATATTTAATGTTTGGGGGTTATAGAAAAGGGGTTTATCAATTGGAGATGTGTCTCTAAACTTCTCCCTTGCATTTTCCATCTAGTGTCTTAACATTGAAAATGATAACCTGGCTGAGGTGAGCACAATCACCAGCCCTGAAGCCAAGCCAGCAGAGATGCACAACAGCTATAATTACTGCAGCTCATTACCTGTGATGAAAAAGGATGTTAACTGTGGTCCAGATTTCTTGGATAGTATTGAGGGCCCCTTTTCCGGCATTTTGCCACCAGAAGACACCAGCCAGCTGAGTGTGAACTCTTTAAATGACACGTCCCCTTCAAACTCTGATTTCTGTGAGGATTTCTACACCACCTTTATCAATACAAAGGCAAACGGTGATGCAGCAACGACAAACACTATCAGTCAATCCCTTGCAGAGGTTCTGAGTGAACCTATTGATCTTTCTGACTTCTCACTGTGTAAAGCTTTTAATGGCAACCTCTCAAGGACCGGACCAGAATGTAATGACTCCGACTCTGGTATTTCACTGAATGCAAGTTCTAGTATAGCATCACCTGAACACTCTGTGGAATCATCTGCCTATGGAGATAAGACTTTGGGTTGTAGTGATTCTGAAATGGAAGACACGGGTAGTGCTCCTGGAAGTGTGCTGCAGAGCAATGCTAGTGTGCACTCTATGCAATTCCAGGATCAAGTGTTTCCTTCCATGGGGCCAAACACTCAAACAACAAGTTTGCCATGTACAAACACACCAAAGAAAGAACCCCCTGCTGCTCCTGGCCACCCCAAAGTTCCTTTCACAAAAGATAAACCTTCAAGCCGCCTTGAAGCTCACCTCACAAGAGATGAGCAAAGAGCAAAAGCTCTGCAGATCCCTTTTCCTGTTGAAAAAATTATCAATCTCCCTGTTGAGGACTTCAATGAAATGATGTCTAAGGAGCAGTTCAACGAAGCCCAGCTCACACTTATTCGAGATATACGGAGGAGAGGCAAGAACAAAGTGGCTGCTCAAAATTGCCGTAAAAGAAAACTGGAAAATATAGTGGAACTGACACAAGACTTGACTCACTTAAAAGATGAGAAAGAGAAATTGCTTAAGGAGAAAGGAGAGCATGACAGGAGCCTCCGTCAAATAAAAAAGCAACTAACCACCTTATACCTCGAGGTCTTCAGCATGCTGCGTGATGAGGACGGAAAGCCTTACTCTCCTAGTGAATATTCACTGCAGCAAACTAGAGATGGCAATGTCTTTCTTGTTCCTAAGAGCAAGAAGTCAGGGACTAAACTCTGAAGGCAGTACAGCTGGCTACTGTTCTTTACTATTTTTATATCGTTACCCTGATAGTTTTTACTGCGAGGTGGAATGCAGAATTAGGTAATAATTTTCAAGTAAGTCTATGCAATGATAATTTTAAAGTTGTTAATTAGTTTATGGAAGATGCAAGTGGAAAATGAATAGTGTAATGCAGATGGATGTATGCAAAATTTGTAATCTCACTTTTATAACAGATGTTTCCTTCCTATAGCACCACTTTTGACTAGTTTCCGTATATATGTAAATATTTAAAGATGGCATATTTATATACTGTTCCTATCTATTGTTATATTCATAGATTTATTTGATATATATATAAATGATTTTAGCCTTCTAAATATAATTTCTTGCAAGACAAACAGGTTGGCTTCTGATACTTTTTTATAAATATGCAATAGTGTGTTTCACACTTTTCTTACACATTTATACTTGCTTTATATTTAATATATTATTTCAATTTAGTATAAAAGTTGGCACAGTGTTTGATTTTGCTTTATCAGTTCATTAAACTTTTTAAACTCTACTTCATGCATGTTTATTTCCCTAAAGAAGAGAAATCCTCACTAGTTTTCCAAGGCTAAGTCTTCATGTAGCAGATATGCATAATAACCAATTGCACGGCCTTGTCAGCATTACTAATGCTTCATCCAGCGTAATTTTAACTATCATTTGGAAAGATCATGTAACACAAAGTTTCAAGTCTCCGCTAAGTTTACATTTTTGTTTTGCTCTTTGAACACTACTTAAATTTGTGAAATCTTCCCTCCAAAGGCATTTAAAATCTGTTAAGACATTGTCAGCATTATGCCTTTTTCCAACTGAAATCTCTGTACACTTTAGAGTAATTCTTCTAGAAATACACTCTTGTGTCTCCGACTTCAATCAACGAGCATCACTTGTCCCTGCTGTTACTTTGGTGCTTAAGTAAAACACCATACTAGCTGCCAGGCAACTGCACTGTTTGGAATCTGCTCAATGAATTGAAAAGTGTTGTGGAGTTTAAATTATGATTTATAAAATAATAAAAATTGGGCAAACGAATAGCATTGTTTTGTTTACTCTTCAAAGGAATTCATTGCAGTTAATCATTGTGGATTTTTTCAGTACAGAAAATGCATGATTTGTAAGACACATTGATGTGAACATTAAAAACCCTATCTTCTTACAAAACTTCTAAAAGGCATGCTTAATCTGAAGCGAGTTTTTTCCTGCTACTATTGCTCTATATCATTTTAGGAATATTTTGTCTATTGCAATATTATACATGACTTCATTTAAGTAATCATAAAACCCAAGCTGTTTTGCAAGACCTCATGGCACATCTATTTAAAAGAAGGAAATGGAGATGCTGAGAAAGGATAGAGTAGAATCCACAAAAATTGTTCAATAATACTATAAGAGAAAGGGTTTAGAGAGAGACACCAGATAGGAATTCACCCTTCCATTAGCTCATTTCTATTCACAAAGTCAGAGTAATGCTAAGTAAAATGATAGTTGCTGGTGAATTTAGTATTGAGATTTTTGTTTCCCAGAGTTTTTAACTGTGCTGGATTTGCATATCTGTCAGAAAGCATCACATGACTGGACATGAAAGCTAAAGAAAGAATTTTAGATTATCCCAATTCCATACTATATCATGTTTTTTGAACCTTCTGAGTGTCCTCAACCCCCCACGCAATTAGGAAGTACAGAAAGCCACAGTTCTGACAAGTATTATTGTGCCCCAGGGTGCTGTGGAAGGGCTCCTGTTTTCCAGCTCCTCTATGCTGTTCGCTGCTTTCAGGCAACTCTCCAGTAACTCCAAGCCCTCTCACCTCAACATCACTACTAATTTGGAGCCAACAATTATGTTGTTTTGTTTTCCACTGGATGTACAGAATTTCAGATGCTCCTTTAGTGTCGGGCTGGTCACAGTAGCATCACTCAGTCTAACTCTTCACAATCAGCTTTTATTTTTATTACTGCACCACCTTTGTCACCTTGTCATTCAGCTTCCTGTCAACTCACCGATTCTAAATAGCAGAGGCCTCCCCAGTACCTGGTGCAAACACACACACACACACACGCTATCCCTCTGCAGTGCAGTCTTGGCTGAGTAGAGCAGGAGTAGGAAAAGCAGAGCAGTAACAGCTTCCCCACGAAGCTGGGTTTGCTTCGGGGCAGTGTAATGCCAGGAACCATGATCCTATTAACTGTATCCCAAAAGGCACATGTACTGCCAAGTGCTAGTACCAGAAGAAAGCCTTTAGTACTTAAACCTCGGACTACCAGATGTTCCAGCCCTACCTACCTTAAGAGAAAAGTAACCTAAAAGTTTCACAGAAGTTCTCATACTGTGATACTTGCTGCAAACTTTCAAGCGAGGCTCTTCCCCACAAGATGTCTGTATTTGACACTGCAGATACAGTGAAGTCATGAAAAAAATTCATCTCAGATTTGCAGCATCCCTGCAGTGATAGGAGACATGCCTGTTACAAGTACTAAGATCCGCAGTTTTGCAGAAGACATTAGGAAATGCAAACCTAGGTGACCCAGCTTGCATCTTGAGGCTGCTTACCTTGGTTATACTGACCTTCCTTGTTAACTGTGTGCCAGGCCATCCCCCTGCCCAGTCCTTATGTGCTCTGAACACAGGAATGCTCCTCTGATTGGAGCAAATGGTCAGTAACAATGGTTAATAACTTGGGAGGCTTGATTTTATGGACAAAGCAGATCTATTTGCTCTAGATAGGGCAGCCAGGCACCAGCTAAAATCAAAGCTCTACTGCTGTTCAAACGTGCCTCTTGACTTTGCCACCTTCACTGCTTAGGAAGAAAAACACTCCTAACAGTTGCCAAACCTGGGCAAGCTCTAGGGGAATACCAGACACTGCTGCCATTTAAAGCAAGAGAACTAATCCATATTTGAGGATGGCTGTTTTAGAGCATAGCCATTAAGAAGAAAACACACAGCCTTGGCCTGCAGAGTCTTTCAGCACTGATACACAGTAGTTCTAATACACAGGCAGGTCTGATGGCAAAGCACAGAGAACCTAAAGAGCTGCTGCGTTCCCCCTGCCACTAATTAGGCTATCAAATGTCTGACTGACAAAGAAAATGTTCTCTCTAGCTGCAATATAGATACTATAATTACAAATTGGCTATAAAACAGACACCTCAGCAAACCCTTGCCCTGAACTTCAATTTGTTCCTTAATTTGTTCACTAATGTGAGAGCCAAAGGCAAACAGCATCCTTACAGCCTTCACAGGGGCTGTTGCATTTGTACTACCCATCTGTCTAAAACATAATACAAGGATACCATTACCAAGACAAAAAGTGCAACAACAAAAAACCTGCAGACACCTTTTTTGAATTTCACCAGGCAAAGAATCAGGTTAAAGGAACTCAGACTGTGACAACCTGCATTCCATCTAAACCAGTATTCATATCATGGAAACAGTGAATGCTGTACTCGCATTGAAACACCCAAAATCATTAAGGCAAAAAATTCCACATCACTCATGTATGGAAAAGCTTCATATTGCAGCTATAACTTTTATTATTATTACTGAGGTACAGATTATGTTCCCAAACCTGAGAGTGGCTAGAGACATTGACAAGTCTAAAGCATCACAATGCTGACCTTACATGCTGACAATTTTCCACATGGAGACCACTTATTTCTTGATCAAAACATTGAGTTTTAAAACTGTTAAAAGTGCAGCTGAAAAGATGGGCTGAACCAAAGTTTTCTGACTTGGCAGTCCCAAAGCTGGAAAGATGATCCTGTAAGAAAACGTGTTGCAATAATTCAAGACCGCTTTGTGTTCATCACAGCACTAAAAAAAGGCGATGGCAACGCATTTTAGATTGTAAGTCATTTGACAATATACACTTTATTCTGATACAAAATTGAAATATTTTAAACGAATTTCAATCCATTATGGACTATACTGAAATTTTTCATTTCCATGCTATTTTAACTTGTTTAACCACAAGTTCTGAGATTTCAGCACACTAGCACCATTACTCTTGAAGTCTTTGCCAGTTATTATACCATTTTATTCTGTTTCCAATCTTGCGATATTATCTTCTACATGAAGGCCATTTTTCTTCTACGGAGGTACTTGGATTACTTTAGTTGAGGAAAAAGCTAACAGATAGAGATGGCAACCTGTAGCACCCACAGCAGAAAAAGAATCATCCATCAGATATCTGAATTTCAGTAACACTCAAGATCTTACATGCTCCACACAATTTAAGATACAGACACTTGTCAGAGACCACAGACTCATTTTTAAGATAACATTCCACCCCAGTGCAGACAGCATATGAAAACGTTAATGTCTTAAACACAGGAATCAAAGACAGCACATCAGTACATCACACAGTCAACGCCTGAAAGACTAGGAGTTATAAATATTAAAAGGATATAAAAGATGCTGTGTTCAATTTCCATGTTATGTAACAACATACTTATCACATCTGCATCAATATGTGCTCCTTTTGGGGAAACCCTCTTTACTACCTGAAAGTACCATTTTTGTTTTCAAATAAACTTCTGTACCACTGCAGCTTAGGGACCAACCAATGCTGTGTTAACTTTGCATCTTTAGATCTCTATTTACAGCTGCTATTTTCAACACCAGGCAGTAAGGAAAAAAGGTGGCCATAAAACAAATGCTCTTAACTCTTTGAACTGCCTCTTAGACAAAGCTACACTTGACCAAGTACTCCCTTTAAGAATGTGTTTATCTTTGACGAAGTTATTTCTGAACAAATTAGGGTATGAATAATTGAACTTCAGCAATTTAGTCAAATAAGAGTGTTATGAATCAGAGTGTAAAAATAATTCTAACAGTGAACATCTAGTTCTTTATGTGGTACCAAAAGACCTGTCCAGGGCACAGAACCAGTCTGCAGCAATGTGGAATCCCCTCATGTTAAGAAAACGTAGACTTTTGCTGTATACATAGGATAGGAGTAGAATGCAAACTAGAAAGTTTTTGTTAAAAATCACTTTTGTTAAAATATTTCAAGATTTCACTGTTAAAAAGCACAACAGCATTTGCCCTTACCTGAGTAATTGTGAGACACGGATGCTGTACCCTGTTACCTGTTGCTACACAAATGCCTGGGGGAAGCTCTGCCAGGCATGTTTTTAATTTCAGGTGTAAGCAAGCAAGCTTGTCACCTCTGCAACAAGCTGTCTGGCACAACGCACTAAGGCTACTGTGACTCTACTGCTGCAGTTTCAGATTTTGGCCCAACCTTGGCTAAGCAAAAACTTTTGACAATGTTCTTTTAAAAAATATAGTCATTGAGAGATTTTCCATGAAGTAGCTCCTGATTTTATGAAAATCTCTGTAAATTACTTCCAAATTAACTTTTAATTTTACATTACAAAGTCATGAACTGCTTTCTGGAAGTTTACAGATGTCAGTCAAGTTTAAATACTTGAACCAGTTTGTGAATGTGCCTCAGCCTCTGGTAAACTGAAATGCAGGTTCCACTTGACTATTTTCAGAATAACTGAAGTAGAACCAAGACTAAAATAGACTTCATAAAACTGATGCACAGGCTCAGAAATGTTTAAAAAGATGCTGGACTACGATATGAAAGGACCTTTAACTATCAAAGATGCAGAAAAGGAAATGCTTCAAGAGTTAAGAACCAATGCGCATAAAATCCAGTTCTGTGAGTTTTCAACTGTACAAACACTGTTGGGGTTTCAGGGTATCATGTGCCGGTGTTGGCCTCCACTCACATACCGTGCCTGAAAGCACACAAAATCTAAAAGGGAGCTCTTTGATTTACCCAGGTAACACAACCCCACCTGGTAAGTCAAGCTCCACTCGCTAGGAGGGAAGTCCCAGCTCCTGAAGGGTGCAGAATGAGTGCAGCAGGTCACACACTGCTGAGAACTGAAGAACTGCTTCAGCATTGCCGCCTTTCTGGGCTTCTGTGGGGCTCTTTCCATTACATGGCACTGAATGCCTTCCCCCACCCCCAACCCCAGCACAGCCCCTGCAGTAACCAGAGTGCGTATTTCAAAACATT